GAGACAGAGTCTCACTTTGTCACCCTTGGTAGAGTGCTGTGGTGTCACAGCTCACAGCAACCTCAAACTCTTGGACTGAAGTGATCCTCTCACCTCAGCCTCCTGAGTAGCTATGGCTATAGGCCCCTGCCATGCCTGGCTATTCTTAGAGACTGGGTTTCACTTTTGCTCAGGCTGGTCTTGAACCCATGAGCTCAGGCAATCTACCCAACCCAGCCTCTTAGAGTGTTAGGATTACAGGCATGAGCCACCACACCTGGCAGTTATTTAGTCTTTTATTATTATTTTATTTAAATTTCTTTTTGTGAGACAGAGTCTCACTATGTCACCCTTGGTAGAGTTGCTCACAGCAACCTCAAACCCTTAGGCTTAAGCTATTCTCTTGCCTCAGCCTCCAGAGTAGCTGGAATTATAAGTGCCTGCCACAATACCTGGATATTTTTCTATTGCTGTTGTCATTGTTGTTTAGCAGGCTCGGGCTAGGCTCGAACCTGCCAGCTTCAGTATATGTGGCTGATGCCCTACTCACTGAGCTACAGGTGCCAAGCCAATTGTCTAGTCTTTTAAAATCTATTTGATTTGGTCTCTTACTCTGAATTTGTACTTTTAATGGAATAGTACTTGAGTTAAGTCAAGTTACCTGTTTTTCCCCGTGTAAGGTGTAATGGTGGTGTGCATATGAGTATGTGTGTGTGTGCATGCAGGGGTGGGGGAGAGCTAGCTTTATAAACTGAGAGTGCTCCATTTCTCTTAGAGGGCCTTGGGCTGAGTAGAGTATTGTGTACATCACAGCAACCTCAAACTCTTGGGTTTAAGTGATCCTTTTGCCTCAGCCTCCCAAGTAGCTGAGACTACAGGTGCCCACCACAATGCTTGGCTAGTTTTTAAGAGATGGGGTCTTGCTCTTGCTGAGGCTGGTCTTGAACTCCTGAGCTCAGGCAATCTACCTGCCTGGGCCTCCCAGGGTGCTAGGATTACAGGCACGAGGCGCCACACTCAGATTCTGCCTTGATTCTTGAGAGCACACCAATACTCTATACTCTGGTACAATCAACCTTTTGCTCAATTTGCTTTTCAACTATTCACAAGGTTCTTCAGGAGTAGGAAAGGGGCACTGGCATCATCATGAGACAGCAGTGGTTTAATTAGTTGGGAAGAATTGCTTCCAAATTTTCTCAGTCTATAAAGAAATAGTGGAGACGCCATTTATTTTACCCACCCCAAATGGTTCTTTGAATGGATTTGATCTCTAAGTTTAGCTGTAATCAGTTCTGTAGTTTGATCTTGACTTTGTTTAGGGTCTATGTATAGTCTCTTAGGTTCCAAAATTGTAAACTCTGTCCAGTAAGACCTTCTCTTCACATATGTAGTGCTTTGCATG